TTTTATTGCATTGGAGAACACTTTTTTATAGACTAGGTCTATTCCTTACATGGCATGTAACTTTTTTCTAAGAAACCCAAAGCATTGTGGGTGCTCTAAACTGCATCAAGTCCACCTAGAGAGAGAGAGAGAGAGAGAGAGAGAGAGAGAAGAGAGAGAGAGATGGAAGGACTAACAGAAGAGGAAAAGAAGGCCCTGAGAGGAAGCAAATTCGCTCCTCTACCGAATGCACCCAATCAAACCCGACACAATCCCAGGTTCGCTCACATGCTACACACATCATATGTGCGCATCAACCCAAATAAGATGTGTCCATTGCTCTGCAAAGAGTTCCATTCTGTGTTTGTACAACTTAAGAGTTCGAGTCTCTGTTTGTACAACTTATGATTACGCATACTAATTTGTTGAATTTGCTTATGTTTATGCAATTTGGACTTTTTATTCGCATAATTAGGTTTTTCTTTTAGCGATATTTTACTTATCTTTGCCTGAAAGCGATTAAGCCTGCTCATCTTCCTGATCTTGCACAGGTTATTTTTTAAGATTTCATTGTCATATTTTTGGCTTATTAAACTAGTTAGTAGTTTCTAGAATAGTGATGTTGGCTTATTTTTGTGAAATCCTTGTTTGGTGACTTTTATTTTGCCTTTTCTTTATTGTTGTATTGTTTTATGCAGCAGTGGTGTGTTGAATGTTTTGTTATGTGTAGGCAGGCACATCCCGGGGGGCCAATGAAGACGAACAAGGCAGCTGCTTTGGCTAAATTTCTCGAAAGAAAGCTTCAGGAGCCGAATGGGTTGGCTTCTGTGGATCCGAGGCTCGTTGAATTAGCTGTGAAGAATGCCAAACAGACTGTTCAATCCAGTATGAAATTCTCTGTTCTCTCCACTTGCTTCAAAGCTTAAAACTTTATTTTTTCGAGTTCCCATTGTTAGAAGTTGATATTTTCTACTATTAAAAGCTTAGGTGTTGTGGTGAATCGTAGAACTCTAAAATGTTTGGTGGTTTTGAGAAGTTGCTGATCGGTGTTGTATTGTTGTAAGTGACAAA